TTTTTTTTTTTTTTTTTTTTTTTGCGTAACAGGTTGAAGCAAGGCGTGGAGGTCTGAATCTCTTGAGTTCTGATAACACCTCTTTCCGGTACCTCATTGAATCTTTTCCACGCCTTCTTTCTCTTCCACTAGAATCTCGTCTAAAGGTGACTGTGAAGGTCTTGGAAGATATTGGGGTTCGTAAAGAACGTGTCAGAAATGTTCTTCTTTTATTTCCACCCATCTTGTCTTATGACATTCAGAAGAGAATCAAGCCAAGGTTGCGATCATTCGAAAAGGTACATTCTAAACATAGTGCTTATGTGCTGTGTCTGATGTGGTCTAGGATTTTCAAAACTAAATCAACTGCAATGCCATTTACTTGTAAAAGTACGGTCAGGATGTTCGGCTATGGATGATAAAACTACTGAAGATTTGTGTAATTACAGTGATGTTGGAAACTTCACTTTGTTAGTTGTATAAGGATGGGAAATATGTGCTGCATAGTTGTCAAGAATAATACCAATGCAAAAATGACGTTTTATGGAGCTTTTATTTATTTGTTTAACAACACAGTTGACCTTTTAATTCTTTTGTATACTTAAATCTTATAATTAGCATCGCTTTTGACTGGCTATCATGTGTACTGAGATCTTCCTCATAGTTGCATCCATAACAGAAGGAAGGATCTTCCTTTTATTTTACCATAATGGGTTCTTTGAAGTTAGTAATAACATTCTAGAACCTGGAAAACCTTAAATTCGGAACATATATGTAGATAAATTCACTCCCTTCTTGTGATATGCATGTCAAAGTGAAAGCTTTTCTGGTGAAGTTTAAAAATGTCTCTTCTGATCATTCTTGACATGTTACTTGCAGATTGGCATAAGAGAAAATGATATCAGTAAGATGCTTGTCAAGTATCCTTGGATTGTTTCTCCAAGCATCCTGGATAATTTTGACGAAATTGTTGATTTCTTTGATGATGAGAAGGTACTGATCAGAAACAGATGCTTAATATGTCAGAAATACTACTCTGTATCATATGGTTAAGTTACTTCCGGAAATGTATATCGGATGTTAATAACCAATTGAGATGATATGTTTTGTTAACAAGTATACTAATATACTATGCAGGTCCCCCGAGTTTCAACAGCCAGTGCAATCAAGAACTGGCCACATATTCTGGGATGTTCTGTAGATAAAATAGGGCTAATGGTTGAACAGTTCAGACGAATGGATATTACGAACAAGAAGTTGGGTCAGGTTATCGCTAAAAGTCCACAATTACTACTTCGCAAGCCTGAGGAGTTTGATCAGGTTGCTTTCTTTTTTGGTGAAATAAATTTGGTGACTTAATAATGGGAAAAAGTAATGTTAATTGGTTTGACTGTTTTTGTGTTAATTTATGACTTCATTCAGCCACTCTTATTGATTTACTGTTAACAAAACTTGACCGCGCGTCGGAACGCGACAAAATTAAATTTATATTTTTCTTAACTAACCTCTACTAACTAGTAGTAGTGGCGAGCAAGGTCGAACTCATAGGGAGTGTGAATCAAATTGTGATATTCTTGTATTAATTGAAACTATAAAAGCAATAAAATAGGGGGTATTGGATTTAATACTAAGATACTAATTAAATAAATAAAATAAAAATAAATTAATTAAGAGAAATTTCTAGTTCACGGTTCCGTCTACACCCTACACCCTCGACCGACTCATCTAATCAATTCTAGTATCAAATCTCGCTATCTTATGAAATTACTAACCCTGGGTAACGACACGGTCTGTTACCCGAATTTTTCCTTATTTTTAATCTAACCGCGAGATGCTCTACGATTAAATTTGACAGTCTAGGAAATGCTTCCTAAATTTAATTCAATTAGCCGCTTTACGAATTAGAAAAATAAGCTAGACTAAGTAGTGAACTCAACCGCGTTCGTTTACTTAAATAGGCCGTGTTATCCCCGGTAGTTACCACCTTCCGGATACCACTTACGAATTAAACACATCAACAATTACGGATTGAAGGCCTAATTCAGGTGTAGATATGTAAAGCCTAATCTAGGTGATCAATCTAAATAAGACTCAACACATCATGGTTAATTATTCAAAACAACACAAACAATTCTTAAAAGATATTGAAATCATCAATCATAATCAATCAAAACATAGTCAATCTTAGGGTTCGACTTCACCGGAACTAGAAATAAAAACTAGCCTAACATGCTAAATAAAAATAAAAAGATAAAAGAGAGAGATTAAGAGCATGCTTGGATACAAAATTTGACCTCTTCGAATTCCTCGCGTTGCTCTGTCCGTGCGTGACTTTCTTTCCTGCGTGTATCTTCTGCGTGTATCTTCTGTATGTTGGCGGCTCTTCTGTTCTCTCCCTTCTGGCCTTCGTGAATCCCTTTAAATAAATCCTCTGAGTGTTGAATGGTTGCGTAATATTATGCCCTCTTTCCTTGGCTGCGTGGGTTTCCATTGGGAAATAATTCCCAACATGTAATAGTCTCAACCAATTAATTTCTAATCCATGGGCTTGCTTGATTTGATTTATTATCTGGTGGCTACCTGATGTCTTCCAAATTATGGTGAGTGGACCTCTTTAATTGGGCTGACATCGTGTACTCCATACTGGCCTACTTAAATTCTCGCTTGGTACTACATCGTCTATAAAAATACTCCGTTATCCTAAAAATAAAAACCATAAAATATCATAGCACTTAAATCTATCTAACAAATAAATAAGTCGGAAAACATATAAGTGCAATAAAATCAAGCATATAAAATACGCTAATAAATATAATACACACACTTTTTCCGACCAGTCAAAACTGGTTAAAAAGTGACTAGTTACTGAGAAAATTGCGATAGTGATCAACTTTGACAGTCAGTTATGAATTAATGTTGATTGTCTCTAACCATATATGGTGTCAATGAATAGTCTTTCAGTAAGCACACAGCAATGTCTATGCATCGAATTAATCAAATTCTATTCTCTTTATGCATTCAGGTGGTATCCTTCTTTAACGATTTAGGATTGGATGAGAAAGCTATTTCTAAGACGCTTGCTCGTTGTCCTGAAATTTTTGCGGCAAGAATAGACGAAACTCTGAAGAAGAAGTTGGAGTTTCTTTCTAGTGTCGGGATTTCTGAAACCCATCTCCCGAGAGTTGTCAGGAAATACCCAGAATTATTTGTTTGTGATGTCGACAGGGCGTTATATCCTAGGTACAGCATATGGTGTAATTTTAAATGTCACTTATTTTCTGTACAAAGGATAGTTAATAAAAAAATAGTCTAGTTTATCGTTGAAAATTACTAAGAACATCTTTTGTATATTTTTTGTTTTTCTCGAATTTGCTGCTATTGAGGAGTATGAGTATTTCATAAGAATACTCCATTTGTAGTTTTCGTAATTATTCCATCATGTCTATTATTATTTATCACCCTTGTTCTGGATCCAGATTTTTTCGAACCTAATTGCTCTGTATATATATTTTTTTTGTTTTTGGACAGAGTAAGGTACCTAATGGAAGTCGGATTTTCAGAAAGCGATATAGTGTCCATGTTACACAGATTCTCACCGATACTCGGGTATAGTGTTGAAGAAAATTTGAAGCCAAAGTTGGAGTTCCTAGTGAACACCATGCCAAGGCCTCTAAGTGATGTGGTTGCTTACCCAAGATATTTCAGCTACTCACTGGAGAAGAAGATAAGGCCCAGGTATTGGGTTCTGAAAGGGAAGAATGTGGAATTTACGTTGAAAAAAATGTTGGGTATAAACGATGAAGAATTTGCCGCTGCGTATTTAGAACTGGGAGAGATGCCTGTTCTTCCTCCTTGAAGGAGTTTTCTTTGTATTTGTACAGAAATATCTTTACTTGGTTGATGGAATTTACATTCCTCAAGGATATGTTATTTCCTTTTCTTGGAAGTATAGAAAAACAACATTTTTTTTTATTTTTTTTTCATTGTAAATTGCAGAAATATCTTTATCTGGTTGATTCAAAATAGCACTGAATTACTGAAAAATAACTTTTTTTTTTCTTAAATAAAACACATAATTAGCTTATAAACACTAAAGAAATATGAACTGAATGGGACTGGAAAAAGAGCAGTACGTCAGTACGAAATAGCACTAGTTTTCTTAGGTTGTGAACCAACCAAATACATATCCTCAAATTTCACAAAACATACAAGATTCGTTCTATGCTTTGAAACATATATAATAGTTAAAAGAAAATGAACTGAACAGTTCAAAAAGAAAAATAGAAGATAAACTTGAAAATTAAGTTATACATTATGTTATATTCTTGTGGACTCGTATATTGATGTTCTAGTCTAGGTCGACTAATAAAATTTGGGTTGAACCATACCAAATCACAAATTGAATCAGCCTATTGATACAAATTTGAATCATGATACAATAATAAAAAAAAATAACATAAAATTTGATATAATAACATGTGTGTCACGATTCTTTCAATTTTACATATCAGATCACTTTTAAAATCTAACTTATCAATCACATTGTTTTTAAATGTCATCAGAAGTAGAACCTTTAATCAACACTTGATTGGCCCGAGCATACACGAAATCGAGCAATGACGTTACATGGTATTTTGATGTTCAAAAAAATTAGGATTAAAAAATAAAAATTGATTACATACAGTTTTGTTATGGAGTCATTTAGATGACACGACTTATGGAATCATCCACACTTATTCACAAATAATGTATTGACACGTGTCCTACAACAAATACATATTGGTGAATAAGTGTGGATGACCTCTGATATAGCCATACAATTGTATAGCGGCTTATGTTGTCCCGGATTGGACATTGCCGAGTCAAAGGTCAAAGGTCCGAACGCTTCTCTTAGTCGGTTTCTACCATGTCGACTAGCCTAAGTCGATTCCGTCTGGAAGGATGAATAAGCGTATTAGGGTTTATTAGCAATTGGGGGATGACCTAGCCGGCTCGAAAGCAAGGATATCTCGAGTCGACTGAAGTAGTCTCGGGACTCATGGATCCCTGACGACTCCTTTACACTTCAACATATCAGAGGGTATCAGAGGGAAGCTATTAAAGGATAAGAAGGAATCTAAATGCTGACTAGGGTATGGGGGGAATGCGAACCGACCGGGGCATTCTGGACATTTCCAGTAAGTCGGCCAGGGTATTTTGGGGACTCCAGGTAAAGGTTTTACTTCTATATAAAGGAGCTAGGTAACCCCAAAACCCTGACTCCCATTCATTCTACATTCTTCTCCATTACTGCTGCTGCTCTCTCAGAGCAGCTCTCTTCACCTCTTTCACATACTGATTTGAGCGTCGGAGGCTCTACGTCGGAAACCCCTCCGACGTTGAGTTCTTGCAGGTGTTCTCGCGGTTCAACAGCGGTTTGGAAGCCATCAAGATAGATCTGAGCTCGTTCTCATCGGTTCATTTCGGATCTGAGCGAATTTCTACCGGTTCATTCCAGATCTGAGAGGAGACCCATCAACCACCATAGCAAAGCTGATCTATATGAATTATGAATGTCGAAGTGAATAGGCACGTGGCCAATGAGTAGAAATGGCACAAATTGCAGGCTAAAATTAAGCCACTAATCTAGGCAGAAAAACCAACCAATTTCCTTATCTTTTGGAAACGGTGGACTTTAAAAAAGCCAAACTAATATTGGATGATTGGCCCACCATGTGCAGTGCAGTGCAGGGGCTATTGAAGTAGTAGTATTATTGACCAACCCAACCTTCATAAAAGTAAATCACGCACACAAACGGGTATGTATGTATGTATGTATGTATGTATATTGATTCATTCATGTGCTGCTAGTCTGCTACCTATTAATTAATTAATTAATACACTTTTTATTACTTTATTTGTATATATATAGATATAATTAAAATAATAATAATAATAATAAATAAAGAAGTTGACTCACTATTAATTTGAATTGCAAAAAAATTTGCAAGTCCTTATCCTTAAGACATCTTCATTAAAGGATGAATGGCCTTACTAATTAACACTATAACATGGCTATTGTCTGCCCTTTTATTTGATACGTACCATATCCCAACCTCCATGACATAGACACCTTCACCTTGCTTGCTTGCTAGCTTTTCTCCCTTAATTATTAATTATCACTAAACTAAACTAAACTGCTTCATATATCAAACATTTTCAACACAAAATTTCTATTTTTCTTTTTCTTAAATATGATGTAATATTTATTTGGATTAATGAGCCAACAAATTCTTGCATTATATTAGTCGGAAATACAACACACAAATATTGGAGAACATATGTATGTGTATATATATATATATATATATACTTTCGAGAATTTTTTATAGTTAATATATGTCAACTTAATTAATTACATATTTATAGTCTACCTTTTTTTTTATAGTTGTGGCACATGCATGCCCCTATCCTTTTCTGTACGATCTTTATTGTGGGAGAAAAATAATTGAAAAATATTTCATTTCATACCATAAATTTTCAATGAACAATTGGGTAGTGGGTTTTGACAATAACAATAATAATAATAATAATATGCATGAAATTGAGAGGTAGAGAAGAGTTTGGTCCATAACGAAGTTTGATTTTTGGAGCCAAAGCATGTGCTACTGTCTACTAAATTTTTCCACTGTTGGTGTCTATTTTGATTTGTATTAAACATGTACAGTTATATTAAAGAAACTTAATTATATTGAGATAAAATAGGTGGAATTAAAATATTATGGTAAAATACTTAATTAAATTTTAGTCAAACAATTATGGTTAATTAGAAAAGTATACTAAAAAACGTTAAAAAAAATGTAAAAGTTTTTCAAGATAAAAGAATTTGGATATATATCCTTACGTATTTACTTTATTCTCTGAGGGAAAAAAAAAAAAAAAAAAATGATGACGTCAGTCCCTTCCCAATAAGGGAAAAATGTCGTTGAGTTCTTGTGGATGTCATAACTTCTTTCTAGCTAGCAATCAATAACTAGGTACATACATATATATATATGAATGCTAGCTAGTACAAACTATATATAATGGTTGTAATTAATAAAACTACGTACACACTTATATTTAATTTCCTTATTATTAGAGCACCATAAATAAAATAATGCCCCAGCCACATTATTGACAAATTTATTTAATTTTAGGCTATGGTTAGTTGAGCCAGCCAGGGCTAGCTTCTTTTTTGTTAGTTAGGCTTGATTTATACTATATTTCTCTATTGTAACATCAAAAGGCAAAATTTCATTTTTGGTCCATTATATTGGCCATTTTCCAGAAATGGTCCACTAATTTGGCAGACATCAAACCTGATACAATAAGTTGTAAAATTCATCATTTTTGGTCCATAAGCATACGTGGCGTTTTATCGGACGAATACGTGGACAAGTTTGATGTCCGCCACGTAGGCTCTTGTGTGATTAATGGACCAAAAATGATGAATTTTACAACTTATTGTATCAAGTTTGATGTCCGCCAAATTAGTGGACCATTTCTGAAAAATGGCCAATATAATGGACCAAAAATGAAATTTGGCCAACATCAAAAGGGTACTTATAAGGCCACCATTTTTTTATTGTTATTTTTTTTTAACATTTAACTTTCGTTTGGACACTCACAATTAGTCGTTGCATCTGTTGAAACATGTATTGCTATTTTACGAAACTCTATACGCATCGGTATATTAATTTTCCTTCATAGATCGGCCGGGTGATCAAAAAAGAGAAGTTGAATGGAGTACAAATTAATTATAGTTAGTGAATTAATTTTCTTGTTGTTATATTATTTAAAGCATGGATGCAACCATGATGCGTGGCGTCATTATCCTCATCTCATCTTCTTCTTGTCTTGTGGAGGGGAATGGAATTAAGAGAACAAACGAAACAAGCCTGAGAGCAATATATACCATCATCAACATCATGCATGTTATATAAAAGTTGATGTTGCCCTTTTGAAGTTAGTTAGTTGCTATATATTAGCTCCCAATCCCATGTGCAGCAGCTCACAAGCCCCCAAAAAAGT